AATTGTTTTTCCTGCTGGATGCTGTAGTCCCAGGATCAGTCATGCAAGTTCGCATTTTCCAACTACTGACCCTTCCTCTTGGTTTCCAACTTTCAAATTCCAGTCAATAATGATTGTCAATGCATCTTGATTGCATGTTTGACCAACTTCAGACTGAAGTAGTTAGACATCTATTGGAGGCTCGTACAACTCTTATCACAATCCATACACTTGTGTCAAGCACATCTGTACATTTGTTGCCATCATCATCAAAACAGTTTCTTGCTACTTGAGCACTTACTATCAGCTCCTTATTTTTTTCCCATCCCTCTCCCACCCAACCTCCCTCATGAACCCTTGATAATTTATAAATTATTTTTATTTTGTCATGTCTTACACTGACTGATGTCTCCCTTCACTCATTTTTCTGTTGTCCATCCCCCAGGGAAGGGGTTATATGTAGATCATTGTGATCAGTTCCCCTTTGCTCCTCCCACCTTCTCCCTCCCCTCCTCCTATCGCTACTCTCATTATTGATCTTGAAGGGTTTATCTGTCCTGGATTCCTTGTGTTGCAAGTTCTTTTCTGTACCCATTTACATGTCTGGTCTAGTCAGATTTGTAAGGTAGAATTAGGGTCATGATAGTGGAGGGGAGGAAGCATTTAAAGAACCAGACAAAAGTTGTATGTTTCATCAGTGCTTACAGCACCCTGACTGGCTCATCTCTTCCTTGTGACCCTTCTGTAAGGGGCTGTCCAATTGTCTATAGATGGGCTTTGGGTCTCCACTCCACACACCCCCTCATTCACATTGATATAATTTTTTTGTTCTCAGTATGAAATTTCTTAATATGTCTCTTCTACCCAATCTCTGTAACTCTCACCAAATAATTTAGTGGGACTATACAAAGAGATTGTGTATAAAGCTAATATGGGAGATACGTTAGTTTTTCTTTATGATCCCCTGGATATAATAAGCCATCTTTGAAGCAGCAGAGAGAAAGACCATTTTGGAAGACAATATTCAAGATTTCTATCTGAAGTGTGGGAGGCCACAGAGACCAGATGCATTGGAGACTAGCATAGACTCAGAGAAGCAGTGCTGACACTATAGGGTACCAGGACAGAATGCCCACAGGTTGGGCTTCCTGGCCAATGGAGGCAAAGGTCAAAGTACCACGTGGCTGAAAGGCTGAGAACCAGAGAGACACTTGGATGAGGAGATCTATAACTGTATCCATACTGTTTGCTGATCCTGACTTGTGGTAACCTATTAACTTCCCTGACAACCCCCTCCCCCTAAACTGTATTGTCCGAGTTCTGTGTGACCATTGCAATGGATTATTGAACTGGCAAAGATGCAGAGTGGCATGGGAAGAACAGTTAGTGTCAGAATAGATAAAGAAGGTGGACCATGGAGAGTTGTCTAAACCCTGGTTAGTGGCAATTGGGAAGCTGAAGTTGGTCAGACATGGCACCCCCCTTCCCGCAATTCTGTTTATAGTAGTGTTGCATTGAGCAAATTTGGTGCAATAAACCTCTTTAAAGTGTCATTTTGAGCACTAATGTGCACCTCAGCAAAGCCATGGCATTTTCAATCACCTCATATGCCTGTGAAAGCAAGGCAATGATTAAGGACGAATGAAAAAGAACAGATGTATTCAAATTATGATGTTGGCAAAGAGTATTGGAAATATCAAGGGCTGTCAGAAGAAGCAATACAGCGAGTGTCAAAAAAAAACCCCTCCTGGATTAAGGAGGTTCAATGAGCAGGTATCCCAGGGTCCAGAAGACATGCTGCACTACTGGCACTTTTCTCTCACCAGTAGTTAGATCCCCCTTGCGTGTCCGTTATGGCTCACTTTATACTCAGCAGATGGCAATCACAATGAACCCGGTTCACAATTACTAATAGTTGGATCATATAGTCCAATCAGGATCTCCCCCCACCTTTTAACCCAGACCTGTTAGGAAAAAGTTATTAGGTGGGAATAACAAAGGCTATGGTTAGAAAAGCCATATTAAAAAATTCACTGCACTGCAACCATTCCGTGGCTCTACTTTCTGTCAAATGATATACATGCCTGTAAGTTGAAAACTACACCAGAGATGTGCACACTCCTTGCAGGAAGGGAAAGGAAAGAAGGAGAGAGGCAAAAAGGAAGTACAGGGAGGACGAGAAAAGAAAAGAAAAGGATCACAGAATGTTGCACACTGTTGTGCTGGCAGATACACCAGTGGTCATGAAGATGGTTTAGGCCATTTAAAATATTTCTTGTGCACAAGGTCACCATGAGTCAGAGTTGACGCAAAGACTATGAATGAATAACAATATTGCATGTTTTATATGCCAGTGAACCCAGTATGCTCTTCTTTTTTTAGGAGAAAATAGTTTTATTGACAATTCAGTAGTTCAATCATATTAAGAGTTGTGCAATTTTTACCACAATCAATTTTCTTTTTTCTTGTAGTCGTTGTTGGCTCCTGTTTCCCCCCAACCTGCCCTACCATGCCAATAGGAAATTATTAATCCATTTACTGTCTCTACAGATTTACCTATCCTGAATTTCTTACATAGAAAAAAGCCCATACAAAACAAAGACAAAACCCCAAAACCCAACAATGACAAATTTAATTTTATGCTTATTCTGGAAAATAGAAATACATTTGTTTCTTGTATATTGGTCTTGTATCCAGCAATTTCACTAAATTCCCTTAATAAATGTGATAATTTATCTGTATATTATTTTTTGGATCATCTCTATAAAAAATGTTTAATGAAAAACATGACATTTCTTCCTTTCTATGCTAAGACCCATTTATTTATATTTACTTAGTTTATGTTTTTTAATTGGCCAACTCTCTAGAAAAATATTGAATAGAAATACAGGTGGAACTTGTCATTGTCTCCTGTTCTGAGAGGGAACATTTTCAACACTTTATCATAAAGATTAATTTCAGTACTTAAAAAAAGTTTCCCTTTATTGGATTATGTAAACTCATTTCTACTCTTAGTTTGATAAGAATTTTTATCATCAGTGCATGTTAAACTTTATCAAATAATGTTCTAATGCCAATTGCAATGATTTGATGCCTTTTGTTATTTATTCTATTAATGTAGTGAATTAAATTTATTTAAAAATGCTAAACCAAAGTTGTATTTCTGTAATAAACCTAAATTGGTTAAACAAACAAACAAACAAAAAAGCTAGTTTCTGAAAGATAAGCTTCAGAGCTTCAGTTTTTGGGAAAAGGCATACTTGTATTATCTGGGAAGAATATATATGTGATCGTTCTGATACTGCCTGAATTTTATGTCAATTAACATCTAACAGATGTTATACTTAGTTGCTATAATTCATAGACGAATAGCAGATAGTTATCAAATTCATATTATGTGGAAGGCACTGGGCAACACTTGTAGCATGTCTCTTGTTCCCCTGAAACTATCTTTCAGTAACAAATCATATGCCCAGGAGTTCAAAGGTCAAAGGAATCAATCCTAACCCCAAAGTGCATTTGGAAGCTTAAGGGTTTAAGGAATGCTTGCTTGCTATCCTTCTTCAGAAAAGGAATTTTACTCTTGATTTTCAACACTCATTTTTCTAGCTTCATATTAAGTTAAATTGATAAATAAGAGGAGTCGTGTTACTTGTAGAACCGTTAAAGTCTGGAGGGCTGAAATTTGTTGTTTTAATCTAGATGGTAGAATACACGAGTCCTTTCTGACTTGGACTACGCTGTATATATAAATTAGTAAGTCTTCATGATTAAAAAAGTCTTCTTTTCCATGCAGCCAACTGAATCTCAGACCTTTGCGACAAAGTCTGCTTCTGATGTCTGTGGTCCAAGTTAGGAAACAGAGGAGACTGATGATAGGTGATATGAGTGATGGATGATATTGACATTAGGGCACAGATGACATTGTGAACTGCTTGTCCATTTCTAATGACCAGAGAGTTTTTCTTTGCTGATCAACAGTTCTCACACTGAATGGGCCAGCAACCAGAGGCAAACAGCCTTATAGTGCACTAATGAAATAATGACTTCACAGGCTTCTTGATCTAGTCTGTGTACCATGTCCTGATGGATCGTAGTCAACGGCTGCTCATCTCTGGTGGTTTTGCCTCCACCCTCTGTAGATCCTCCCTCCTATGAGGGTGACCTTAAGAAAGGCTGAACATGATTCTGAATGCTTACTCTTGCTTCCCCACAACTTAAGGACCTTAATGTTGGGAACTGACTGTTACCCTCGCTACGTGTTAATTCCTAGATCAAATGAATTCACACTATCCTTCGTAAGCCACTTTGCCTGACCTGCTTTTACTTTCCTGGATTGACTGTAGGAGCTTAAATTGTACCAACCCACTGTGGATTCTATTACATTGGAAATACTTACATTGTGGGAAACAGGTATTTGACCCAGCTATCTGGGGTCGAGAAAAAGGTGTGGCCCTCCATGAAAGGTATTGACACAGTGGATGCAATATTTGGCTTAGACACGGCAACAATGGTGAGGATGGCACAGGACCAGGCAACTTTTCACTCTGTTATACATGGGTCACCAGGAGTCGGCGCCTGCTTATTAACACCTAGCAAGAAAAACGAGCAGGCTGTTTCTGCGCCATGAAAAAGTTAATGTCCTCAGCTGCTAACTGAAAGAATGGAGGCTTGAGTTCACTTAGTGACACTTTGGGAGAAAGATCTGGCGATCTAATTCTGTAAAACCAGCCACCGACCATCTGGGGAGTACAATTCTCCTGACACCTGTGGGTTTTCCATGAGTTAGAACGGACTCCATAGAAGCTGGAGCTGGAAGAACTACATAGGCACCTACACACCTCTTGTCTACTCTTTCGAAGTTTAGAGTTTGAGAGAATTTTTAAACAGAGTGAATTGTAGCAACTAAATGTATTAGGTACAGATACTTTTTAAAAACACAGATGGCGAGGAAAGAAGTGGCATAAATCTGATATGGCAGCACTGGACTGTCATCACAACCCTCAGGTACCCCTGAACCCTCAGATAGCTTCAGCTGCTCCTGGGCTACCGAAGGCCCGTTTCAGGGCACTTTTGATATCTTTGTTCCTAAGGGTGTAGATCATAGGGTTGAGTAAGGGGGTGATAAATGTGTACACGAGGGCAAACTGGCGATCCTCATCCACTGAGGAGATCGACTGGGGACGCAGGTAGACCAGAGCACAGCAGCCATACTGCAGAAGGACCACCGTGAGGTGGGAGGAACAGGTGGAGAAGGCCCGCCGGCGGCCCTCTGTGGACCGGATGCGTAGGATGGCCAGTGTGATGAATGAGTAGGACACAGAGATAAGAATGAAGGGGACGGTCAGCACGAGGATGCTCACCACATACAGGACGGCCTGGTGCACATGGATATCAGCACAGGCCAGGCGCAGGACCGGAGGGACATCACACAGGAAGTGGTTGATTTCCCGGCGGCGTCCACAGAAGGGCAGGGTGAAGATTAAGGCCGTGAGTTGCAGGGAGAGGAAGAGGGCCAGGGCCAGGGCCCCAGCCACCAGCTGGATGCACAGCTTCTGGGTCATGATGAGGGTGTAGCGCAGTGGGTGGCAGATGGCCACGTATCGATCATAAGCCATGATTGCTAAGAGAAAACAGTCAGCACCTCCGAGTGTGAGGAAAAAGAACATCTGGGCAGCACATCCAGCCAAGGGGATGGGCTTCTGGGCCCCGCAAATGTTGGCGAGCATCAAAGGCACCACCACGGTGGTGTAGCAGATCTCAACAAAGGACAGGTTCGACAGGAAGAAGTACATTGGGGTGTGGAGGGAGCTGAGCGTGTACACCACCCAGATGATGGCCGTGTTGCCACAAAGGATCATCAAGTAGAGGAGGAGAAAGAGGAGGAAGAGGAGGGCTTGGAATTCAGGGACAGCAGTGAACACTCGGAACACAAACTCGGTGGGGCCCGACTGGTTGAGGAGAGGGTTCCAGGCAAACATTGCTCTTGAAAAACAAGAGAACTATTTGCTGAGTTGCTCAATTGCCTGAGTTAAAAAAAGAGAGAGAGAAAAGAACTGCAAGCGTTGGAATTGCCTAATTGTCATCAAGATTTTCATTGTAATACAAGATACAGAATACATTTCCTGAGGAATCTTCATGTGTATGTCCCTGAAAAACCAAAACAAAGCTTCCTCCCCCCCACTATCATGTTCCCAATTCTACCTTAAAAATCTGGCTAGACCAGAGGATGTACACTGCTACAGATAGGAAATGGAAACACAGGGAATCCAGGACAGATGATCCCTTCAGGGCCAGTGCTGATAGTGGCAATACCGGGAGGGTGGAGGGAAGGTGGGATGGAAAGGGGGAACTGATTACAGGGATCTACATATAACCTCCTCCCAGGGGGAGGACAACAGTAAAGTGGGTGAAGGGAGACGTCAGGCAGTGTAAGATATGACATAATAATAATAATTTATAAATTATCAAGAGTTTATGAGGGATGGGGGAGCGGGGAGAAAGGGGGAAAATGAAAAATGAAGAGCTGATTCCAAGAACCCAAATGGAAAGCAAATGTTTTGAGAATGAGGGCAACAAATGTACAAATGTGCTTTACACAATTGATGGATGTATGGATTGTGATGCGTTGTATGAGCCCCCAATAAAATGATAAAAAAAAGCAAAACAACACACACACATACACACACAACAGACTTCTCACGTGTCTTTTAAAGCCACCATTTAAAATATAAATCTATATGGGCTAATTCTTTACTTCTGCTCACTATTTATCATAGCAGAGCTGAAGATATTTATTTTACAGATAAAACTTGGGAAAATAGAATGGATCACATGGACCTGGAAGTTTTGGACTTAGAAAACAGTGATCAAGCACCTTTTATTCCAAGCATATCCTGATATTGCCCACTTACTTATTTTTCCTCACTTGAGGATTTTCTTGAACCTTTATTTCAATTTCTCTACATTTCAATTTTTAAATTTTAGAGTTCAAACAGACTGACATATAAAAGCAATAGACTACCTGGAAGTCAGCAATGAGAGTGGAACAGCCCGAGATAAAGGATAAATAATGAGAAAACTGAAAATCTGTAGCAGGGAGATAAAAGAGAAAAAGAATATTTACCTACCCACCACATAGCTTATGTCAGGCAGTTTGGCTCTAGACTGTCCTTTTTTGGACACAAAAATCCAGAGAATGATGGCTCACTCTCCAAAATATTTGAAGGTAAACAAATTCTTATCAAGTCAAATTCTGCCTCTATGCTCAGCCAAGTTGTCATCCAAGTATGACTATCAGAAGCACTTTTTTAATATTGGAAAAGCTTCTGGAATTATCATCCACATCCTATTTTGAAAACAATAACTTACAAAGTACTCGAGTGTGTTATGAGATGGATCTAAATAAAATTCAGTATTGGAAAAATTTTAATCTGAAGGAAAGTGGGGGGATTGAAAGTCATAGTAAAACCCAAAGTTGTGTCTAAATAATTTGAATATGTTTTGTAAAGAACATCAATTCTAAATATAATTTTTGAAAATACATCATGCCAAATTATGTAAAATAGCATCTGGGTCTTACTCTCAAGTGTTAATTAAAAAATCACTTGATTTAGGGGGTAGGGGAAATGTGAGACAATAAAAATGAAAAAAGGCTAATTTCTTCAAATTATAAAAAGGATTCCATATAAAGCATATGTACTGTCTGTGTGTATAATTGGAAATAATGGAATCTTTTTTATTTTCTTTAACATGTGATATCAATCACCTGCACAAACAAGCTATTCAAACAACTAAAAAATAACTTCAGAAAAGAGGGTGAGAGTGGTTGCACAGCTCAAAGACTGGAATTGATGTCACTCGGTTGTACACATAGACACTGATCCACTGGTGAATGTTTTGCTAGGTATATTCTGAGTGAGAACAAATGAATAAAATTTAGAGGAAAAGATTAGCTCTTAGACAGCGGAGTATGCCCTTTGAGCCTAGATTTTGCTCTTTATCAGTAGCTTTGCAACTTAGCTTAGATATGGTACAAACCTATACGGGAAAGTCAGGCCGAGACCTGGAACATATGAAACAAAAACTCAAACACTCTGACTCTGTACGTACAGGAGAGGGAGTCAACCTCTTAGGAAGCATGATGAGAGAAGTTTCAGGAAAAAAAAATCTTTTCTGCCCCAGATTGTGACTTAAGGTGACTATGATTAAAGATGTTTTCAAGTTAATTATTCCTATAAGAAAACACCCAGGTTTTTAGGCTTCCACCTGTCTTTGAATCCTAGCTCTGCCACATGCCAGCTCCCTGGCTTCTTTGTGTTTCCTTGGCTGACACCTTGTAGGGATGTTATAAATGTTAGCACAAACCTATCCAACGTGCCTTGAGAAGTGTCTTTTGTAAAATAAGGGCTCACCTCTTGTCACTCCCTCATCTGTCCAACACTTTTAATAATGTATCTTGTCTCTCCTGAATAATGGACACTCCTTCAGTCTTTTAGGCTTCAGCTCAGGAATCTCCTCCACTTTTCAAGAAGCATTCCCTATTTACTACATTTTGGATAAGTCAATATCTTTATGACTGCTTTAGAACTGTACACGCTTCTCATTGTAAAGTGTTAACCCTGGGCCAGGCGGAGGCTTCTCCTCCATCCCTTACTTTATAATTTAAAATACATACTTAGCTCAAAGATCATTAAAAAATATAGACTGGATCTAATCTGCAGGTCATAGTTTGTCAGCCCTTGCTCTAAAGTATTATATACTGCATATGAGGGGACTTCAAAAAACTTGTGAAAAAACTCCCATGATCTTTTCATTCAAAATTTCCATGAACTTTTTGAAGTGCTTTTTATTTAAAAAAATTTGTGTGTGTGTTGACAATAGAAACCTTTATTATTTTTTTAAATAATTAAAAAAATTTATTTAAATAATTATTTAAAAAAATCAATTTATTGGGGCTCATACAATTCATCACAATACATAGATCAATTGTGTAAATCACATCTATACATTTGTTGCCCTCATTATATGTTAACATTTTTTAGCAAGAAGCGCAGACAATTGCTTTCTATAAAGTCTCTGAAAATGTTCCCTTACCTTTTTATCAATTCATTTCATTCCACCACTCATCAAAGAAACATCATACAGGTCAAGCCTTTTTTGAGAGGAAAAGTTGCTTCCATCGGTGATGAATTAATTAAGGGAGCTCTCTGAGATGCTCTAGCCCCCTTAGACCTGGTTCTGAAAGGACGAAAGGAAATAAAGGCACGTGAGCTTCCATTTTCGGCAGAGTTCTAGAGAGATGACTAGTTGGTGAAACCCTCTCAATGTCCAGATGAGGATAAGAACACGGTCTCAACCTTCTGGTGTCCAGGAAGACTGACTTCACACAGCTGTGCGAGACCAAGAGGGATACCAGGAAAATAAGAGTTCTGTGGACTTATCCTAAACTGGGTATCTGACTGAGAGGATCTGTCTCTCTCCTTCATCAGGAATCAGAGCCTGGCATTTTATTAAGAGTCCATTCTTGCCTAATTTAGTCAGATACTTTAGTGCCCTAGATAACATTTCTCTCGAAATAATGGGTCCCTAAAGAGGAGGAATTTCCCCAGTGGCTCTTGAGCTAGATTCAACCTAAAATATTTTTGAGAAAACTTCCCAAGTTGTTAAAATATGGAAAGTTAATGTTTTTCTCATGATGATCACAGATAACTGCTGTTTGTGGACCACAGGACAATGACTTTATTTCTATCTATACCCAACAGGGACCTCTAAATGCTATAGTCCAGCAAATTAAGTCAGTAGGAAATGTCCATATTAGCTCAGAGCTTATGGGAGATATGAAGTGCATTCAAATGACACTAGCATGGGCAATTGGATGCTGCTGCTTTGCTAATCAAAGGCTGAGAAACCCCGAGCAAGTTGTGGAAACGTTTCACATGTAAGGTTTCCTCATTTGTTCATTTTATTTTATTACTGTTCTTTGAACTTTTTATTTTTGGATGGCAAAATTGATTTTACATTTTACAGTTCATACATAGCTTTTAAAAACTTTTTATTCACATATAATTCACGTATTGTATAATCCATGATTTAAATACATCAAAAATAGTTGTGCAATCATTGCAACAATCAATTTTGGAACTCTTTTTCATTTTTGCGTCCATTGTTAATAGCATCTCCTCCACTCCCCCCAAAACACACACACACACACACACACACACACACACACACACACACTCCAAGCTTCCCTTATGGTAATCCTAAGGAATTGTTGCTCTAGTTGCTTTCTCTATAGGTTTACCTGTCCTGAATTTAATATAAAGAAAATCATATCATAAGAAGAGAGATACAACAGAATCAACATTGAAACAAGACAGAAAAAGACAATTCCAAAAGAAAGTAAAACAATAAAAACCAGGACAAGTTAAAAATAGGACAATAAATGGTAAGATCTTAAACTTAAATCAAACTGTTTCTACAGTAATCCACTTTCCAATTCACCCTGTCTGTGAATCTGAATTCCTGTGAATGTGAAGGTCTGAGGGAATTCAATAGAGGCTTAATTCATTTGGATTTTGGGCTCTCCCTGTCATCCTTAGACCTTCTGCAAACCAGATGCTCAGAATTCAAGCTCTAATACCATTCCCTCCTCTGATCTTGGGTTTTACCCTTTGAAATTCTTAGATAATACAGGCTGGTGTGCTTCTTAGTGTGGACTTAGTTGACACCTTAAGTCCAACTTGTGGCTACTTGTTTAAGACAAGCCTTTAATACCACAGACACTAGTCTTTCTAATAACTAAGGACAATTTGATTTCTTTATCACATTATGCTCTAACACCTATATCTTCAATGATCATTTTGTTAGGGCAAATTTAGATCAACAATCATAAGAATGATTAAGATTTACATTTAAGTACGAGCTCAAAATATATTCCCATATAGTGTTTATACATATCCCTGGTCTTCTTTAGAGGCAA